AAATTTTTTGCCCAGAAATCAGACAAAAGGGTGTTTCTGTGGACAAAAGAGCCCACAGCAATTTAAAGAAGCTGAAAACATTTCCCACAGTGTAAATTGAGGCGGCTATTTGACTACTCCATGGAGTACCGCTTTTAAGGATCCATGGACTACTCCCATCACTGGTAGCTACGAAAGCTACAGGATATTTTCATCAGTCAAAAGGCCTTTTTATTGCTCTTTTGGTTAAAAAAGTAACAATTATTTTATACTCGTAAACACTTCTATTAGATTTTGAAAAGCGTTCGCCAATGTAATAAAGAAAAAAAATGCATTTTAGGCTTCAGAGGGCTCCAGCTCCGAATAAAACTTTAAAAAAAGAAGGAAAAAGTTGGATCTGGGGGCCCTTGCCATCTCGGGGCCCCAAGCTACAGTTTATTTAGCTTATACGTAAATCCGGCCCTGGTAGGATGCATGGAGGAAAAAAAGAACTGTGCAAAGTGTGTTTTATTGCTTAGTGAAGGAAAGGGTAACAATGACAGTTCTCTAACAGTTGTAGTTTTCTGAACACTTGCTTTATTTTTTTTATGCAGTTTCGTTTTTTGAGTATTTTATTTTTAATTAGTTTTATTTTAATAGTATAATGCAATAAGTTGCTCTATGAAAAAAAAAGGGAGAGAAAAAAAGAGAGTAAGAGATATAGAAACAAATAATGGTCAGTGCCGCTCCTGGGGCGGCGAGCGCCTGCGTGCAAGAATAATTTTATGCGCCCCTATATACTATGCTTATACTTCGAATAGTTGAATTTGGCGCCCCTTAAATTGGGCGCCTGTGTGCGGGGCATTCGCTGCATACCCGCCAGGAACGGCACTGATAATGGTTCTCAAAATAATGGACCCTGACTTCCCAATTATTGGAGGGGGGGGGAGTCCGGCCCTCTCTGACCCCTTGATTACGACAATATAAAAAAAAGCATCCAAATTTCTTAAATATACCTTTTTTTTCTAATTATCCAATATATATTAATTTTTAAAGCTTTTCCTAAGACATGAGGATACTATTGCCATCTTTCTCATTTCGTCTTTACCATAAAGCAAAAAATTTTTTTAACTATCAATACTGCGCGATTTAAAAAAATAAAAATTATTATTATTATTTTTTTTTGAGAAAAGGAATCGATCGTTGTAAATTACTTATTACTTCTGACGCCGCTGCGCCACCGATTTGTAGGGTTAATGTAGTATATTCGCGGCTGCTAAGGCGTAGCATTGAACTCTACATCTTTTGTTAATGCTTATATATTAAAATCTGGCAACAGTAATAATAGTAATGAAAGTATGAAACAACGCCATTTTATCACTGGTAAATACAAGAAAGGGGATTGTGTGATTTGGTAGGTGGTTAAGGGGTGCTTTCATCATGTATCCCGTTGGCCAACGTAAGTAGAATTTGTTATCTTTTCTATTCATGGATTTTATTTGTAGTTGGATAAAGTTGATATTATATTTCAACTAAAGCAATTTCATTGTTGTTGTTGTCAAAGCAAGATATCTAAGCTATGTGTTTTTGTTGAAGCGTATGTTTAAACAATTCAATAAATTCTTGTAGTTTACTTTTGTATGTGTCAAATTAATCATTTTAACTATATCAAATGTTTCAGATACGCAGGACTACCTATTTCTATGTCTAAGTAATGTAACGCTTTTTCTAATCATCAGCAACTCTTTACAGTTATACAACCTCGTATTTTGATAATTGTTTTTAATAGAACAAACTTTGAAATCATGGTAACTCTCCTCTTAAATCACTGTACTTGATGAGAGATAACGTAATAGTTTAATGGAAGACATCTGGAATTGTGGCAATGAATTGTATATATTAACACTGAAGTAGATTTTTATAATTTGAATTTAATAATTTGAGTTAGAATAATTTGATTTAATAATTAGAGATTTTGTTTTTGAAATTAAAATTTCCCTATGTTGTAAAACGGTGATTGAATTTAATAATTTGAGTTAGAATAATTTGAATTACCTAATAATTAAAAATATTGTTTTTGAAATTAAAATTTCCCTATGTTGTAAAACGGTGATTTTAGTATATCTTGATCTTTGGCAGAATAATGACCAGTCATATGGCTTGCAAGAAATTAAAGGGGATCAATAGCAAAGTTATAGCTCATAGCCACCCCCCGGGCAATTGTAGTTGGTAGATGGGGGATCTCGAAACGAAACCCGGATTTGCGAAGTACTACTACCGATTTCATGATTTTTAATTACTTTTTATTGTGATGAATATTTAGAAAAGGTAAAAATAAAGATAATTTGAGCTCCCTCCCCCCAACCAAATGCGAGATTATCACTCATAATATTAAAATAAAACAGTGTTACATGTTCAATTAAAAAAAAAATTAGATTTTTCTTTTGTAAACACAGCGCTTTTGTTATTTTAAATTAGTAGCATATATGTTTGTTATTATTAATAGCATCTTGCAGAAAGATATTAGTGCCAGAGAGTTTTGTTGTTGATAGCTCGAAAAAATTCTGCTTCAGGGGTACGTGTCGTAGCAGAGTTATTTCGAGCTTTCTGCGTCAAAACACTCTAGCACTAATATCTTTCTGTAAGATACTTTTAATAATAACAAGCATATAAGTTATTGATTTAAAATAAAGTTCTGTGTTTGCAAAAACGAAAAAAAAACTAGAATTATTTTTAATAAAAAACTAGAATTATTTTTAATTGAACATGTAGTCATTTTTTAATCTAATATTATGGATGATATTCTTGGATTTTGCTGGGGTGGGACGAGCAAATGCACCAATTATTTCCTTTTTCGTATTTTGTTAATGATCATCACCATTAAAAAAAATTAATAATCACGAAATCCATTGTAGTAATTGCCGACAAAAAGATCGACAAGTAAATAATGCGAATCGGACTTCTCAAATGTGTGTTTCGTTTCGAGAGTAGGTTGTTGTACTAAATAATATCGTATGAAAAATATTGGATTTAAAAATTATGGAGAAGTCAATAGCAATAACTGCCAAAAATTCGATAGAACCACCGCCTTAAAAAGTAAATTTTTAAATGCGCGATTAGAATATTTCCATATTGTTTGAAGTATATCGAGTTATTTAAAATCCACGTGAAAATCAATAACTGCCTAAAATAAAATGGAAACATTATACATCGATTTACGATACTATAGGTGTAAATTGAGAGCACCCAAAGATGAATCACGCATTTAGATAATCTCTATCTAAATGCGTGATTTAAATACTACATTTAAATTTCTGTAGAAAAAAAAGTGATTTTTTACTTTTCAAAAAGAAAATCTTTCTGCCAGAAATCTGTAACGTTCTGTGAGGATCGTTCTGCTGCGATTCTGCCACGGGGAGTGAGAATGTATGATTTATATGAATTTATGATTTATGTGAATGTTTGTTTATATGAATATTTGTTTATATGAAGTACTTAATTTTGAATGTGTGATGTTGTAGCACCTGGCCCAGGGCCTGTGGCTCCTCCAGTAAGAGCTCCCCAACAACCTCCACAGACAACAACACCTACAATGCAAACTCCCAGCGGTTCAGGCATGCAGTTACCACCCGGTGGCATACCTCCACCCGAACTGCCAGTCTTCTTATGTCCCAGACGACCTAACCTTGGAACAGAAGGGAGACCGATTATGCTGAGAGCAAACCATTTTGAAATCCGTATGCCTAGAGGGTTTCTTCATCATTACGACGTTACCATTACACCTGACAAATGTCCACGAAAAGTGAACAGGTAGGTTCTTCTCTTCCAATAGTTGCCAACTCTATTTTCGTTAAAATTCCTCAAGGTTTTTGTACATTTTAGAAAATTTAGAAAATCTTTTTCTTGTTATTTATCATTTACATAAGATTGAAAACTATTAACACTTATTTATTCAAGAATGAAATATAGCCTTTCTCCGTGGAACAAAAGCACAATATATCAAAATTGTTCACAAAAAAAAAGAAAAGTTGAACCAGGAGCGGAATAAATTTTTTATATAAAAGAAAAAGATTTTTTTGCCAGTTATTTTTTTTAAAAAAAAAATCTGTGCCTTAAGGGGTTAATTTTCCCTTTTCCAAAATGAGATTTTTTCTTTACCATATTGATTTTCGCCAAGCGTTATGTATAAGTGTGGTTTTCACATAGTTCTATTCTACGATTCCACTATGCATTTCGGAGTGCCGTCGGTCACATAGTGTCTAATAGCGTGAAGCGTTTTACTAAATTTAATTTTACTTGCAGATCCGCTTGTGCCTATATTGAGCTGGTTTCGGTGAGATTCTTGCACTCTCACATGCAACTCTCCTGCATTTTGCTAGATATTCTCCATTCCAGGCTTCATTTCCCTCCCTCTGAAATCAAACGGAAAAATCTCTCGATCTTCTTATTGTGGCTAATATAATCAAGAGAAAAGTTTTTTTGTCAGAAACTAGTAATTTTATCATGATTATGCAGATCTTTGAAAATTATTTTGCTTTTTGTTAATGTATATAGTGTTTACAAATATATTTTGAGTGTTTGAAAAGTACTTAAAAGGCACTTATTTTTTGTTGAAAGATTTGGCTATGCAGTCTGGTTTTATTTTGTCAAATTTTTTGAATGCCAGAATCATAAGTTTATCTATTAATGTTGTACTTTGCTTTCTTTCTTTCATTTTTATAAATAATTTGACATTTAACTAAATATTAAAATTTCTGAAGTGTTTTCATATTTATAATCATACTTTTGCTTCAAGCTAAAAATTTTATAGGTATATATATAATAAAAAATTATGTATCTAATTACATTTGGAGAAATTGGGGAGAAATACTCTTATTTTGGATTGATAATAACGATTATTTATTAGTGTTCGTACTGACACTGATTAAGGTTCTTCATTTCTGGATCAAATTTTATTGTTTGTATGTCACTTTATTACATGGTTATTTATTGTGTCCTTTTCTTTGCATAACTTTATACAACGAGGATGATGTTGATGTTACTTAATGTTTTAATTTTCTGCATCATTGATTATGAATTGTCATTGTTTAATAACCAGGGGTCTCTGTCCAGGTCAAATTTACTACTGTTTAGCTGTACATTCAGAAATTAAACTTTAGAAAAAACTGTAGTTTCAAAAGCAAGTTCTAAGGTTCTCCACTTTTTTAAAAAATTTTTTGTATCCCCATAAAAAAGAAACAATAAATCCCAGATTCTTTTAAAATGAAGGTTCTCTCTCTATAAACAGTACAGGAAGTCAAAATTCGAACATCATTCTAAACATTCGGACAGTATTGTAATTTTATTCAAACAGATTTTTATTTTTTTAGTAAAAATTTCTTTCTCTATGAAAATTTTTTCTGTGTGACCAAGTCGAAAATATTCTCATAATGAAGATAGCTTTTAGTTCTAGTATTGTTAATTGTAAGTTGAAATTTAAATATGGAGATTGGATTTTTAAATTTGGATACAACTTTAAGCTCCAAATTTGAAAATTTTATTTTGCAAAATTATTTTTTAATATATGGGGAAAAAATTTACCAGTCATAAATGATTTTTATTTGTAGTGACAATTTTTGAAAATATCTTTTTACTTTATCCTATTTTTGTGTTGATTTTTTAATATGATTTTTAATTTTCAAAAATGTTGTCTAAATTTTCGCAAAAATAGGTATCTCTCAAACAAACATAGACGGACCCTTGATAACCGTTTTTTAATTCCAGGGAAATCATTGAGACCATGGTTCAGTCATATTCAAAAATATTTGCCAATATAAAGCCTGTATTTGACGGACGGAAAAACATGTATACCAGAGATGACATTCCAATTGGGAGTGATAAGGTAATTACTATTGATGTTCCGCTTCTTAATTTATGCTAAACGCTAAACATACCATAACCGGTCAAATGACCATTTAAAAACTTTTGCATCGAAAATGCGCAGATCATTTTATCACTTTTGTATATTTTACGTCATGACTTTTTCTAACAATTATACGCAGTTAATGTTCTGTTGTTATTTTTTTGTATTTTGTTTGTCTCGAATAATATGTGTCATGTACCCATTTCTACCACAACCGGTCATTTGACCGGGAGAACAATTTATTGTTTTATAAGGTTATCGGATCAGAAATCACAATGTAATACGTCTTCAACGTATTGCGTTCAATGAGTTGCACATTTCTGCAAAAACTGTTGTGTAGTGAGTTCAATGAGAATAACTGTGAATTCAAATTTCTAGAGAGTACCTAATACTTTAGATTCACATTTTTATATAAGAAAAAGTAACAAAAACTAATTGGTTTGGTCAGTAGCTTATATTTTATTTTGATAGCTTTACTTCATTTCGAACTAACTGTTAGTTTTTACCCAGAAAAATGTCGAAACAATCGAGACAGCACAAGTTCTTAGAGGAAATAACATTAATTATAAGAATAATTATACGAATTATAATTCTTATTTATTTTTATAATTATAAGAATAATTATGAGAATTATAGAAATAATGATAATTAGAAGAAATATATTTGCGGAAAATGTATAATGGAAATACCTTGTATATGTACAGAATGCGTTGAGCAATGAATTAAAAATTCTTATTTTTCGTGTTTCTAATAAATAAAAATTGGCAATCTACAATTTTGTTTAGTTATAATTAGAGCCCGGATTTTGATGACCTAAAAAATCTCAACTAATGCCCTTAAAAAGTGCAAAAAATGCCCTTAAAAATGCAAAAATTGAGCAAAAAATGCCTTAAATAAAGCAAAAATATTGAATTAAAAAATATTTTGGTGTTTAAAATTATTATGAGTCATTTAAAAAATATAAAGCAATGCAATACTTGTTCTATGTTCATTAAAGTTTGAAAAATATGTTTTATATCCTAAAATAACAAAAAAAGGAAAATATATTGACACCAAAATATTTTTATTTTGTATAGAAACTTTAATGGATATAACAACTTCCATCTCATAATATTACTAAATATCAGAATTACATTGGATTATTAAATGTTTTTTGATAATTTGAAATGTAAACGAGCGTCTCTTGTCTGAAAGTAAATTTTCATTCCTGCAGAAGCTTCTTTCAACGTCTACTGATGTTATAGGTGCGTACTTGAAAAAGACGGTCTCACTTACTTACAATTTTTCTTCAATTTGAAAAGATTTTGCTTCACCTGTTAATATTCCTTAGATTATTACAGGTTCCTTAGATTATTACAGTGTAATAACGAAAATTGATTAAAAATAGTAAAAAATTGGAAAAAATTAACAAAAAACTTATGCATTAAAATGCGCCCCAAAATTTAAACAAAATGCCCTATAAATCTAAAAAAATGTTCAAAAATGCAGAAAAATGCAAATGTCATCAAAATCCGGGCCTTAGTTATAATAAATTTTTTTTAGTTTTTCCTTCCTAATACTCATATTTCATACATTCAATCAAGAAACATTGAGTCCGGTCATTTGACCGGCTATGGTAGATGTAGATATATATATTAATTGTAATGTTAATTATTCCAAAGAGGAAGTACTAGCTTTTCAAACAGTAGAATTTCTATTTTAGATGATGCACCAAATTGTTATTTAGATGGGATGCTAATTATTCAATATTAACAGAAAACATAAAATATAAAGAAATTTTTTTTTAAAGGTAATTCCTGCTTAGGTCAACAAAGAAAATTTTTTTATTTTACTTACTTTTTATTAAGTAATTTAATTAAAATTTTTTTCTCTTGAATAAAACTGAAATTAATTAATTACATTTAATTTATGTATTAATATTTGAAAAAGTAAGTTTAAAAAATTGTATTTGAACTTGAATGGACAAATAAAAAGTATTTTAATAGCGATTGAAAATTTGAACTAGATATAGGGAGAGTGTGAACGAATACAGTAGCAGGAATTGAAAAACCTAACAAGCATACAACTTTTGGGCTTGTAAAGGAACAATGCGAATTTGACGATGTTTTGAGTTGATACCATATCGGTTACTAGTGGCCTTGGCCAAAGAAGGCCTTTCCTTTCTAACCTTCAGTAAGAGTTCTCCCGAATAGGGATGAAATATATAGCACCTCCAAAACCCGTTCTACTGTCTCCCCTACATTTTTGGTGGGGGTGCGTGTATTTCCTGGGGTGTTAAGTAATCCGAAACTAATCGACTAACCACTGTCACAGAAAAGGGGGAATTGCAACCTGTGAGGGGTCAGCTAGCTTTCAAAAGATATCAAAAAAGACTTACTCTACATTATGCCTTTTCTCCTTCTAAGAAAAACTTGAGAAATAGTTTTTTTAAACTCTAAAATGGCTTTATTTATTTTCAAAATGGTTTTATCATTTTATTTAACATGCACTTTTTCTAATTATATCTTGAATTGTTTATTATTTTGATTTGATTATTTAGAGAACTAATAATAACCAGAGTATTTAAATTTATAAAATTTTACTATGTAGTCATATGAAAGCAATTCCTGTGTAGTCATATAAAAGTAATTCATGTGAAGTAACTACATAAAAAATAAATTTAAATTTTCTCTATAGATCAAATAAAGATTGTTATTTTTTTTAAAAACTTATTTGCTAATTTGTAAAACTTTTTATGTTAGAGTAAAACCTTAAGTTCAGCAAGATTTTATTTTTTTATGACTTATTTAATTTCTTTCTTTCAATTACATTTAAAATACAAATATTCTTTACAACCTTTTTTTTTAAATTTAAATAAATTTTTTTTAAAGACAGTTACATTGAATTCTACGACTTTTAAATACTATGTTGACTTTTAAGCCATTGTTTAAGCAAATATGGTTGTTTACTATGTGTTTAGACTTAAAATTTTGAATTTCATAATTTGAATGAACTAAATTATCCTTCTCTAGAAACTCACTTCATTTTAATTATTACTTTTGCTAACTATATTTATTATTGTATAAATATCTTTAAACTGGAATTATGATTCGATCTTAAAAAATAAACACCGGGGATATTTGCTATTTGTCAAAAACTAATTGAAACATGAAAATTAAAAATTATTCGATTTAATGATCATACAATTTTAAATTATATTAAGACTAATCTAGTTTCTGATTGTATCACTTAACTTATTCTAATAATTTAGCTCGGATACATTAAAAACTCAAGCCACAAGCTTATATTCATCATTTTTACTTACATGATTTCTATTTAATTATAGTTACTGTATAAACTTATAACCAAAGATATCATTTAACAATTATACAAAAAAAAAATTAAAAAAAAAAAATTTAAACTGCATATTTTGAGAGCGCAGTTTTATATGAAGTCTATTTTAAAGGAATAAAGGAAAATATAACTTATAAAAAGCGAATATATTTTATCAGCTTTTGATTGTTAAACGGTATTTATATTTTATCAAATAATTTTTATCAAGTAATTCTTGTGATTACTTTATATAATAAAGGAACTTCATTTTTAATTTTATACCTTGAACGTATTATTATAATTACCATAATAATAATAACAAAGAATAATGGTAAAAGTGGGTAATTTGTAAATGCCGTAAATAAAAGGACAAATAAATTACTTACTAAGGTATAACTTATTTCTAAGAAGTTCCTTAAAAGCTATCTTTGATAAGCATTATAATTTTATGAACGTGGAAGTAAAATTATAAGAAAATTGATGTAACTCTTTCATTCAGTTTTGAGGGTTCATAAAAAATACCATCAATTCTGTCTTAAAAGTAAATTATAACATTTTCGACTAATAAGCTAAAGTGACAGTTTAAAATTATTTTTCTAATAGATCATTTCGATGAATCAGTAAAAACAACAAAATAAAACAATTCTATGTTATTTTGCATTTTAATATATAGATTTGTGAAGCTGCTCACTGTAATTAATATAAATATTTATCAAAATTATCGAAATTAATTTATAAGAAAGTGCGATACCGAAATTTTTGAAAGAAGAGGCATTTATTGATTTCCATTCCAACTTACAACATAACAACAGATTGAGACAAGTTTACTTTACAAAATTTTATCAAATACAAAAATACAGAAAATTATTGTTATCTAGGAGATATATTCATATAGATAGCATGCTGGTTAACTCTGGGAGGTTTTCGTGTTTTTCCTCTTCATGTTATGCAAATGTGGGTTAGTTTTCTTATATTTTAATTAACTATAACAAGATTAATTAAAGTTTGCAGTGCAGAAATTTCTTCTCAGAAAACTCTTTTCTGTGAATGGCAAAGGAAGGTCAGGGAATAAAAGAGCGATAAATTACATTACACACTTTTAATATGAATTCAAAAGTGTCTCGTTATTAAATACATAAAAGAATGCATAATTACTGCTCGTAATATATATTTTTAGAATATTGCGAAAAAAGTTTCAAAGAGTTTTTTAATTAGAAATTACAGATTAATGTTAAAGCAATGAAAAAAAAAACTAATAGTTTTAAAATTTAGTGAATCAACCAGTTTGATTGTCTGAAGTAATACTAAGCATTACAACTTATTTTTATTTTTTAATTTATCGTGAGGAGTCTTCGTGGTGTTTATAATAATCACATTTCTCATTATTTCTATTTCCTCTGGCAATCAAACTGGTTTCAATATTTTCAGTCTTGCGTTCCTAAGCGTTGATTCATTGTATTTTGATATCGTTTGTATTTTTCTCTCGTGAATATTAATTATGTCCACTAATGAACGTTTACTTCCTTTTTTAAAAGAATTTTAAAAATATTCAAGAAAGGATTCCATTACTTAACAGAATATATGCGTATATTATCATATTTTTCTTCATTTACTGAATTAAATAAAAATTTCTTAATACTTTAATGTTTCTGTGTATTTACATTAAAGCCCTAAAAACAGAGCGAAGTGCTTGTTTATGGTTGGATGATGTGTGTTCTTGTGTACTAGCTATATTTTTTTTCCTTACCGTGGAAAAACAAACTATCCCAGCCATTAGAGTAATTAAAACTATTTATGGAATGGAAAAATTGCAACACTTTACGTTTTTTTAATGTAAATGTTTTTTTAAGCCTACAAATAAGTGTACAACATATTTTTTTAAAAAAAGGAAAATTGTAGTTTTTTGATGCTTTATAGTATATTGGAAGATTTTTGCGTCATTATCTCGATTTTAATTAAACTCACTTTATTCAGAAGCTAAATTTTTTAATTCTGAAACATCTTTAAAAAACAAGAAAGAAAGTTTAAAAGAAGGGGAATAATGTTTTTAAGATATAAATTCCACTCGCAAAATGAGTAAAAACAAGAAAAGTATTACTTCTGAATAAATAAAATGTATATAGAATGAACGATTTAACAGTAAATATAACTTTCATAATAAATTACAAGCTTACAAATAAAAAGTGAGCTGTCGGTTTTTAAAACGTCCCCATACCAGTTCTTCAATAGGGCAGTGAGAGAAGACTTCCAAAAAGAGTTGAACTGAGCAAAAGCATTTGGGAGGAAGGGAGGACCACCTACGGAGGAAGATTAGACGCCCTCTTCTCCTGGAAAATGAACTTGGGGGTGGAAGTTGCCTTCCTCCCTTACTCAAAGGTAGAAAGTGACTTGAGTTTCAAAGGCAATATTATGAAAAGTAATAAAGTTAAAAAAAAAATGACCTACATTTTCTTGGATAGGAAAGATTGCAAAAAATTATTAGTATTTTTTTTAAATTGATCACTCCGGTTCTTAAACAAGAAAAATCGATTCAAAGTATGACAAGCCCGCCATAGACTTTACACGTTAAAAGCAGAATTGAGAAGTCTGCTTGGTGCAACACTTCTCCCGGCAACCACGATTGAGGACCCTGATTTTCTTCTCTATTGGGCATGCCGTGTCCTATCCTTGTTTGCCATGCTAGTGGCAAATGAGGCAAATTTCTTTGTCTCATTTGCCACTATTAACTGGTTTTACTTTGAGTAGATTAGAAAACACTTTTATTAGAGATGTAAATTTCTAACCTTACTTTTGTTTGTTAGAAATAATTGTTACCTTTAATTTAAATTTCTTTACCAATTTCATGTCTCAGTCAGTGTTTTTATTCTTTTTAGATGGAATTTGAGGTAACTCTTCCTGGTGAGGGTAAGGATCGTGTGTTCAGAGTTGCTATTAAGTGGCTCGCTAAAGTTAGTCTATATGCACTGGAAGAGGCATTGGAAGGAAGATCGAGAGCAATTCCCCTGGATGTTATTCAAGCGCTAGATGTAGTCATGAGACATCTTCCGAGCATGACGTAAATCCATCCTTTTTTTTCATGTTTAGTCAAAAATTTTATTTGTTATAAAGAAATCTAATATTTACAGAGTATCTGTGCACCTGGAAAGTCATGAAAAATCATGGGAAGTCATTAATTTTAGTATTGAACAAAATTAGTCATGAAATGTCATGATTTGAACTATTTTTGAAGAAAAAAATCATGGAAAGTCATGGATTGAGATCGTCCAAAAGTAGTGAATTTATCACCCCCTCAATTTCACGGTGTTTCGAATATCTGAATTTGTAGCAAAATCGCCACTTGCAGTTGCATTTTATTAAAATATAAATAGTTTTTATCATGTTCTTTAAAGATTATGGTGTTCTTTCAAAAAATGAAAGAAAAAACATTTCTAGAGCAAATTATCTTTTAAACTTCTGTGATTTCAGAATTTTTGTTATTTATTTTTATGTTATCAATTTCAAATTCTAACTGAAGCAAGCCAGTCATTGGCAATTTTTTTAATTCCGAAATACGAACAGAAAAATTGGGAGTATTTCTTTCCTACACAAGAAAAGTATCTTTAGAATATAATTCTGCAGGAAAAAAAGAAAAAAGATTTGCTTTTGTATTTTTTTCAGCTATTTAATTGCTTCAACTCTTTCTTTACTCTGTTTTTTTAAATTTAAATTCTATAAATATAAAGACGCAGAGTATAACAGTTTTGGTTCTACCTATCATTTAAATGAATGTTATTATAATGCTTTTTTAAATTGTTGTTTTTTCGGAGAAAATAGTACCTTCGTTAAATCTTGAAAAATTTCTGGAATTAGTCATGGAAAGTCATGAATTTGAAGATCTAAAATGTAGCCGATACCCTGTTCTTAAAGAATCTATATTGAAATAAAATTGAAAACAGATAATTGCTAGCTTGAATTTTTAAATAAGTATTATATATAATAAAGGTAGCCTGGTATACAGATCAGTTTAAGAATTTTTTTGTCTTAAAATGTTCGGTTTATTTTTATTCAGAACTTTTTTAAATTAATTAAAAAAAAATCTTTTAACTATCTTTGATGAATTAAATACCTATACATAGCTGCCAACTCTAATGGATTTTTCAGTAGACTACTGTATTTGACCAGTTTCTCCCGGTTTACTTGTTTAATAGAAATTCCTCAGGTTTTTATACAGTTTAGAAAATTCCCTAAAGAAATCCCTATTGAAATAGAATTTTTGCACAGTTTATTGCTTGCTTGAATATTTAAATAAGTATTACTAATACATAATGAAGCAAGCCTCATTTGTAGAAATCAGTTTAAAACTTTTTTTTGTTGTTCTAAAATGTTCATTTTATTTTTATCTTCCTTTTTAAATTAATTAAAAAGTCTTTTAACTATCTTTGATTAATTTAATTCCCATTACTATTCAAAATTATGAGTAAACATAATACATTAAATTTCAAGTTCATTTAATGTCAATTATAATTGGAAAATAGTGTAGTTTTTCTATTTCAATGACTGTAAAATTCCCTATGTGTAAAATATTAAGTACATTACATAACAATTATCATATTTAGATTTCGTAAAATTTACTGAATTTTTTCCTTTCCATGTTGCCAGCTGTGCTATTAGTATTCAAAATTATCAGTAAACATAATACATGATATTTAAAGTTCAAAGTGTATTAAAAGTTATTTAAAGCTTCTCTGTCATAATTGGAAAATATTGCAGTTTTTCTATTTTGATAACTGTAAAATTCCCTGTTCGTAAAATATTTAGCTCGGGCTGCTACAATTATTAATTATATTATTAAATTTATATAACTTTGTAAAATCTACTTGATTTTTTCCTATCCAAGTTGGTAGCTATAATAATTTAATGAAGGAATTTCAATTCTAAATCCTAAATTCTTCTAATTCAATCCTAAATTCTTCTTGCTATTTTTGAGATTTTAGAAATTTAGAGCATAGATTATTTAGTGAAGTCTACGAGAAAATGTGTGTGAGTTATTTCTCTTAAATATTAAGTTTGCTTATTTGTGCGCAGGTACACCCCCGTCGGAAGATCGTTCTTTTCCTCCCCGGATGGCTACAATCATCCACTGGGTGGTGGTAGAGAAGTCTGGTTTGGTTTCCATCAAAGTGTGAGGCCTAGTCAATGGAAAATGATGCTTAACATTGATGGTAAGTAAATGAATTTCATTGTATTTGCTGGATTTTTGAATATTGACGGTTTTATCTAATTTTAAGTCAAAATACCCTTTTTGACTGTGAAAATAATTGTGATTAAAATATAAATTAAACTTATCTAACTAAAACATTGTTATATGTTTTATCAAACAGGAAAAAAGTGATAATAAAGGAATAAACATGGTATCTGCTCACCGGGAAGTCATGAAAACTCATGAATTTTGGTATTGAACAAAATTTGTCATGATTTTAACTATTTTTCAAAAAAAATCATGGAAAGCCATGAATTTAGGTTGCCGAAAAATCTGATTTTTAAAATGGAATTTACCCCCCAATTTCATGATGTTCCGAGTATCTGAATTTCTAATAAAATCCCCATTCAGTCATATTTTATTAAAATATAAAGTCAAATGTTTTTATCATGTACTTTAAAAATTATGGCGTTCTTTCAAAAAATGAAAGAAAAAACATATCTGAAGCAAATTATCTTAATTTTTTTTTTATCATTTTAAAATTGTAGCTGAAGCAAGCGAGCCATTGGCGAATTTTTTTTATGTTCTGAAATGAGAACTGAAAAATCGAAGCATTTCTTTCCTTTCTGATGAACAGGAAAAGTATCTTTAAAATATAATTCTGCAGAAAAAAAAATTGCTTATGTATTTTTTTCAGCTATTTTATTTCTTCAACTCTTTCTTTACTCTGTTTTTTAAATTTAAAATCTATAAATATGAAGATGCAGAGTACAACAATTTTGGTTATACCTATCATTTCGATGAATGTTACTGTTTGTCTAAGATAGGTACTCTGACCGCCACTAAGTCTGCGGCAGTCTGGTGCTATGGAAACAAGAAGAGGGCACTTTAGGGAGGGTTGCTTTGATAAAGAGGACCCCATTTCTTTCGTCGAAACCAGTTCTAAAGAGGGACCAAGCATTCCTACTCGAAATAATCATACCTCGTTGCCATAGTCACCGCCACAGCTCCAGACGAATGTCTGGCGGAGTACCTGTCGTAGACAAACAGTATAATGCTATTTAAAATTTATTGTTGTGTTTTTGTCGGAGAGGATAGTAACTTCGTTAAGTCATGAAAAATTCTTGGAATTAGTCATGGAAAATCATGAATTTAAAAATTTAAAATGTAGCAGATACCCTGGTTCTGTTAAAATTCTATTTTGTAATAAAAACCAAAAAACAGCAAAAACTAAACAATTCTTGAAACAAAAAGGAATGAAAAAACAATGAAATTAGCTTGCCAAACTGTAATAATGAAAAAAAAAGCAGTACAAAACTCATGGTTCAGTAACCTAGTTTCAGTTATTCAAATTTCTCTTTGTCTTTTAGAACATAAATTCGAGAGCTCGGTAAATGTGTGTAAAAACTACTAAGAATGTATAGTAAAAAATAGGATATTAGATTACTCTTTATTTTATCGCAATTCTTATTCTTGTGCTTTTAAAATCCAATATCGTGATTCATATTCACGTGATCTTAAAATTCAACATCGCGATTCATATTTACGCGATTTTAAAATCCAACATAGCGATTCTTATTCACGCGATTTTAAAATCCAACATAGCGATTCTTATTCACACAATTTTAAAATTCAACATCGCTATTCTTATTCACGCTATTTTTAAAATCCAACATTGCGATTCTTATTCACGAGATTTTAAAAACAAGTTAGCAGCTATGAGTAACATGAATGTATTTTAAGGATGGTAGTCAATTTAAAAGGCGAACGCAAAGTGCGTCGTACAGTTGATGCTATGAAAAAAATAAATTCAAGTTTCATTGGTCAAACAGTTAATGTGACTAAAATTGTCCGTAACAATCTATCAGAAGATATTAAGATGAAAGTTGGTGACTGTTTTAATTTAAAATGATTGACTGGTAATTAATTTAAAATGATAATTAAGCTGCAACTTCCTATAATTGCTTAATTTTCTTTAATATAGTTGTGATCAAAATTTTAAAATTATATAAATTTTTTTTTTTTAATTTCACTGTCTAAATGCTTCTGTCACTTTAAATACTAAATAAAAAAGAAAGTTGCATTAAAATTTGCTTTTATATATGTCTCCTCGATATCACAATATTATATGGAACACTCCCCCCCCCTCCTCCTGCATTGTAAAAGTTCAGCTTTTTTTTATTTTCAACCTCTTTCATGCCTGTGTCACTTTAGTGACATATTGCTTTACAGAGGTACCTGAATTAAAATTTTAACTTGAGTATTGTTTGTCTATAGTAAGAACTTCCCTAGCCATTCATCTGGACCCATGTCAATGACTATTGTAACCAATGTATAGCTATTTCAAGTAGAGGTGTGGGGTCATTGTTTAGTACAGGTTTTGGATTGGGTCAGCGTAAATAAGAGAATCTTTTTCTTCAGTCTATTGTATTAAGCCTTAGAGTAAAGAGAAGCTACCCTCTTGTTTCCGTAGCTTCAGACTTCTTACCGTAAACAAACTATATTATGATCTGAAAATATTGTCCAAAATAATCAAGTATTGTATCTTTTATGTATATAATCAAAACAGAAAACATAATACAATAGACTGACCTTTATCGTTCGTAAAAAACTTCCAATAATAAAATGATTGTTGAGTTTCAGATTAAACCATTTCAAAGTAGGATCATATTTTTTCTGTGTTTCCAGATTGCTTTATTTTATTTGTCCTTGATTTTTCAAAGTTATTCATTTTGTTCTAGAATCCTTTTAGTCAGACCTTAAAAAGTTCTCTGATGATTTCCCTCTTTTTTTTTCAGTCTCGGCAACTGCTTTCTACAAGGCACAACCTGTCACAGATTTTTTATGTGAAGTTTTAGATATAAGGGATATTCAAGAGCAAAAAAAACCTCTGACGGATTCCCAACGTGTGAAATTCACCAAAGAAATCAAAGGACTCAAAATTGAGATTACTCATTGCGGTACTATGCGTAGAAAGTATCGAGTATGCAATGTTACACGCCGACCTGCTCAGCTGCAATCGTAAGTAAATTGTCTGTAAATCATTTTTCTTTCTTTTTATCGAAAAGAAAAAGCAATGCTTGAATAAAAATTATTCATGATTATATTAAAATCATTGTACTTATTTCTAATGTGGCAGGTCAGTTTTTTAAAAAAATTATTTTTGAGAAAGGACATAATTAATCTAATAAATTTTGTTTTCAAATTTCATATGAGGTCAACATTCCTAAATGTGACAATGTTTTGATACTTTTAATCTCAATTCAAGAATCATCCATAAATACAATATAATAAAACTCTGAAGTGTATCATTTCATCACATTTTAAGCCTCTTAGCTGCAAAATCATTTAAAAAAAAAAAAAAAACTGCTATTAACATTCTTTCACAAAGATTCATGGTTCTTAATTAATGTATTTAGTTATTTTATTTAGATTTGAAATGCAGTTTTTTTAATAAATGCATGTCCTTTCATTAATTTGTTCAATATTCAGGGGTCTGTCTAGGTTTTTCTGAGAGGTACCTATTTTGTGAAAATTTAGACATAATTTGAGAAAATTAAAATTATATTTAAAACTCCAACACAAAAATATGGCAAGCATATGGATTTATCATTTCTTAAGGAATACAAAAATAAAATTTTGAGAAAAAGTATTTTGTGAAAATTCTGTTCTTCCTAAAATTAAATTTGTGTAACTACTGTTTTCCTAAAGTTGAATTTGTCAAGGTACCGCTAAACGGTAGTAAATTCGGTCTGGACAGACCCCTAATATTAGAAAAATTGTATTTTCTGGAAAACAATTTCCGTTTGTTGGCATTTTCATAGCTGCCAACCCTACTGGATTTTGTCAGTTTCCACTAGTTTAATTAAAATTCTCCTGGTTTTTGAAAAGTTTAGAAAATTCTCTAAAGTTGAGTATGTTTCATAAAAACAATCCCCCTTGGAATGGAATTTTTGTACAGATGCTTGCTTGAACATTTTAATAAGTATTACTAATACATAATGAAGCATTTATGGAAATTAATTGAAAACTTTTTTGTTCTAAAATGTTCAGTTTATTTTTATTCAGAACTCTCTTTTTAAATTAATTAAAATCTTCTAACTATCTTTGAAAAATTAAATGCCTATTAATATTGGGAATTATGAGTAAACATGATACACAACATATTAAGTATATTTAATGCCAATAATAACTGGAAAATATTGTAGTTTTTCTATATTGATGACTATATAAATCCATAAAATTTCCTATGTGTAAAATATTTAGTACCTATGCAACATTTATCATGAAATTTGTATTACGTAACATCTACTGAATTTTTTCGGCGGTTGTGCATTTTAATTTTACTTTAAATAATTTTGTAGAGGCAATTGAAATATTAAGTAAATAATAGATTATTAATTGAACTGATATATAATTAATAAAAGTTTCAAAATTGTTTTAAGTATATTGGAACCATTTGGGAACCTCTGTTCTAACTTAATGAGTGGAAGAATGAGAATTTAACCTATTTGTCTTTTCCAGATTTCCACTACAACTAGAGAATGGCCAAACTGTTGAATGTACTGTAGCCAAATATTTTCAGGATAAATACAAAATGAAACTAAGGTAAGAGAATATCATTTTCTAACTCATCTCTCAATTTTAAAAGCAAGTGTTTGTTGTGTGTGATTATTATTCTCATTATGCAAACACAATTTAAAATGATTATGAAAATTTGTACTGAATGTCATTGCTACATGCAAAAGTGTTATTTTTTAAAATTCAATTATTATTTTGATATTGCATATCTCAGTTCAATGAAAACTACTGGCAGTAGGAATTATGATTTTTTCTAAGTCACATATTTTTGCATTGGTATAGGCACCTTTTCTGTCTGCAATTTGTTCACAGTTAATGAAGTATCTCATCTAGTACTAGATTAGTAACAAAAAGAAACAAAATTAAATGGCAAAAAATTTATTAGTTTTTTACGAGAGCATTTATAAGCGCAAATTGGTACTTCATTTACTATTTCTAATATATAAAATCTAATTTTGTGTGATAGAGGTTAGTAGTTGTTTTCAAAAATCTGAGATGATATCTTTGAGCTGTCTGTTTAAATTGATTTTTACCCAATTAACATTTTAAAAATTTTAGAACTTAAAACAGATTTAAAAAAAAAAAAAAACTTTCACGCAGTTTAGATTTTTTCTTGCCTGTTGTAACTAATAAATGAAATATTTGTATTTAAAACTACTTAGCTATTTAATGATAAATGCTTGAAAATTGTATTTCTTCTTCTTGCCGAGCATGGTGACTAAATTTTAATTCATATTAAAAAGATAAATATCTAATGAGAAATTGATGTGAAAGCCTAATTAGTTTATTAACAAGTAATATTATTTCCCTCAAAAATAACTCTTAATTTTCAGCCAACACTTCTGTTGTATCTAAATATGAAATGCAAATTCATATTTAGATACAACACTGTTGTTTATCACAATTGATACAACACACAAACTTTTGAATAAATAATTTTTCTGATGAAAACCTTATTTTTTTTTCAATTGCCGAATGTTATTTTTATTGCAGGTATCCTCATTTTCCTTGTTTGCAAGTAGGACAAGAACATAAACATACATATCTTCCTCTTGAGGTATTTATTGATTTCTAGTGTTTGCCTCCCCCCCCCACACACACATCAAGTGAATTGTTTTTATTTACTATTTTTATTGTATTTCAGGTTTGCAATATTGTCGCTGGACAAAGATGCATAAAAAAACTGACAGATATGCAAACTTCAACCATGATAAAAGTAATTATTTATTATCTATTAATAATCTTCAGTTCATCTCATAAAAAATTTGAATTATTCCAACAAACTGATTCAAACGTCAAGTTAAAAATTCTGATAAAAGTTGCGTCCAATGATCAAGAAAATCAAGGGTTATCAAGAAATTTATTGATTCTAGAAGTTAGGGGGAAATATCAGGGGATTTCTCAAAAATCTTATTAAACAAGGAAAGGCATACCTGCCAATTTTCACGCATTACACATAAAATGTACCCATTTCCAATATTAGAAACTGCACTCTTATTCACGCGTTTTTATTATCAATCATCGATTTTAGAATTAAACTGTTTTAAAAGTAGCTCAATGCAATTTGTTTTTGCTCATTTTAAAAATCGTATTTGGCGATTCCAATTCATGCAATTTAAAAAATCCAATATCACGATTTGCATTAAAGCATTTTTAATATCCAATATTGCGATTCTACAATTCACACAATTTTAAAGTCCAATATCGTAAGAAGTAAGTTTTTTCTTGAAGAAGTTACTATAAGAGAGTGATATTCTTCATTAGTGAGTCATTTAATTAAAACTGTTGCTCAAAAAATTATGTTGATATTTTGTTTTTCACTTTGTGTCATAATTTATTCTGATAGGGGTGTGTTCCTATTTTTGTTTTTGACAAGTTGGCAGCCATGTATTATGTGTATAGATTCAATGTGTGTGACTAATAATTTATTGTTCTAATTAACAGGCCACTGCTCGTTCAGCTCCGGATAGAGAACGAGAAATAAATAACCTGGTGAGCAACACAGGACTCAGTTCATCATCCACACAGGTTTGTGTATATTTTTATTTCTTCAATTCCACTCAGTTCCCAATTTTTTCCCACCATTTAACCACAAATGATCAAGCTTCTGTCAATGGAACATGAAATTTGTAAATTTAACCAATGAAAGGCTACTTCATTTTGAAGACATTTAATAAGTTGCAAGTTTGATAGAAGATGCTTTGTAAAATTTAAAATATTCTTAATTTAGTAGTTTATCATTTATGTGATATTCCTTTTTTACTATTTATTTTCTTATCATATTTTTTTATTTCATTTTCTTTTAAAATTACTTTACTTATGCCTTTTTTATAAGTAATTTAAGGAGTTAATTTTGATTAAATCTGGTTTGCTTGTCTAATAGACAATTTCTCTTTTATTTTCCTAATACTATGTATTTCATTTTTAAAGATATTGTTTTTTCCCCCCTCAATGTCTAGTTATATTTCAAATTGTTTATTTTGTTTGCTGTTATGGAATTTTGCCTTTTTTAGTTTTTATGAAATATCTCAATTACTATTGTTAAAATTAAATTGTTATGCTTTGTTTTTATATTACAAAAGAATACTGTGTCGCAATATTATTACAGTTAACTAACTATTATGGAGAGTATTTTCCTTTTTAGAGATGTGTTAACATTATTTCTCGGTAATTGAAATAGACATTTTATTGGCAATTTTTTATTTTATTTAAATTTTTAAAGAATCAAATTGAATGCAATTTAAGTACTTTTGTAATTAAGTAAAATTTATATTAATTTTTTTCTTTTTCTGACCCACAGTTTAATTGTTATTCTTTATCCAATTTTTAAAATTAACAAGCATATTTAAAATCGTCTAATGTTATAACTGATAGATTATAACTATTATTAAAGATACTATAGAAATATACTATTATTAAAAAAAAACAACTCTGTATTTCTTTATTGCAAACATAGGAAGACAGCAGTGTGTCACTACTTAAGAGGACGCTATACTGAGGAAGAAAGTTTTTGTCACAAATTCTTTTTCTCCTTCATTACAAATTTAAAGTTTAACCTGTAAAATACAAAAGCCTGGAAAAATAGAAAACCTGGAAAATACAGGGAATTTAAAAATCATCTAAAATAACAGGGAAAATTCAAGAAATTTTGATTTTTTCTTTACAAACTGGGAATTTTGTTTCTTATTTTTGTCTTTTAAAAAAAATTATCACTCAAAGCGTAATCTATGGGATATTGAACCACGATATTTCTACTATATTAAGCTATTTCATTTACTATAGCATTATTTAAGTATGTAAAGCTGTTTTTTCCAGCAATTAAAACAAATATAGTTAACCCAATATAGCTCTCACAAGAGCACAGTAATGTTATTTCCTCTTAATATAGTGTGTATAATATGTACAAGGAAAACACAGGGAATTTTTTTTCTTCCAGATTTGAATGGCAACCCTGCTAGAGTAACTCATGAATTTTCAAATACTGAAAATAAAATTTTAAAATATACTAATAGTTTTTTTTTTTCACTTAAATATTTTGAAGTATTTTTTCCTCAATTGAAGCTTTGTGACTTACTCTAGGTTTGTCTGAGCTTACTTTTTCTTTCTTGTAAATTAGTAATGAAGTGAATGTGCGATGGAATTTTTTCGTCAGCAGTATAGCGTTCGATTAAGCTACACCCAAGGTTTTATATTTGCTTAATTCTCAAAATAGTGCGTTTCGCATAATATTTTAACCATCTGAGGTTTTAATATTTGGGGGCTGCAGAATGATAAGATGATTGATGTTTGCAGGTGAGAAGAGCCGATTTCAATAATGATCCATATGTGCATGAGTTTGGATTGTCTATAAGTAATACTATGATGGAAGTGAGAGGAAGAATATTGCCACCTCCTAAACTACAATATGGAGGGAGAGTAAGTATTCTTTTACTCATCATTATATTGTCATTTTGTAATAGACATGTGGCGTTTTTGTAATGTGCTTACTTTGATTATCGTCTTTTGAAAGCTCCTGAAAGGTGCTTTTTTCTTTGGGTGTTTTATTTTCCCTTATTTACCATGTTGATTTTTGCTACGTGAAAGCAGGCTTTTCACTTTGTTCTATTAAATGTTTTCACAATTCATTCAAACACATTTTATTTTGTTGTACCGTCGGTCTGTAAGGTCTGATAACACCATAATGTTACATATTTGATGAAATACTCGAGAGGCAGTATGTATGTCTACTGAGCTGAGATAGGTGGAATTTTAGCACTCTCATGTGCAACTCTGCTGCATTTTGCAAGATATTCTCAATTTCAGGCTTCATTTTCCTCCCACTGAAATCGAACCGAAAAGTCTCTGAATCTTTTTATGGTGGCTAATGTAATAAAGAAAAGAGTTCTTTGTCAGAAACTAGTTATTTTATCATATCGTTTCTTCTTTCAAGTCTTTTCAAATTATTTAGCATTTGGTTGATATATATAGTACTAAGAAATATTTTTTGAGTGCTTAAAAAGAACTTAAGAGGTGTTTATTTTTTTATTGAAAGATTTGGATATGCACCCTGATAGAAAACAGTTTATGGTAGTCAATGTCATCTTTATAAAAACCTGTGACTTTCGTCCCTGAAAATTGCTTTTGTAATAATGAAAAAATATCTGTTGTGAAGAAATTTTTATGAAACTTTTGCTTTAATTATTACGATTTCATAGTCAAGATAAAGGCTCATTGGTTGAGTAATAAAGGTTGCGGTGGGGGAAAATTTTTGTTGTAATCGTCTCTTAAATATATCTATTGTATTGTTTTTTACATATCTATGATAATTTTAAGCAATTCCAAGAATAATAAAGAATACAATTGATTTGATAAAAAAAAAAGAAATGAAAAGTAACAAGAGCAAAAAACAACTCTCTCATATTTTTCTCTTCCAACAAGTTATTTTTAAAAAATAATGAGGTACTAGTTTAAAATTTAACCACAAGATCGAACAGTGGTTCCAAGTAAACAATCATCATTTTAAGATAAAATATGACTTTTTTTAAAAAAAGATTTTGTTGCCTTTGCTGAGGTGTACTCTTTTTGTTTAATAATAAAATTCAAGCACATATTTCGATTAGATCAATACAGGAAACATTAGAAAACCTGCAATTTTTATGGAAATTCTGCTCTGGAAAATGTTGGAGTATTAGCAATTAATGATAATTACGGGCAATTTGACTTTTAAGTGTGTTTTAATCTATTATCTTTTCAACATTAAAACATTTTTTCAAAGCATTTTTCATTTTCTCAAAAACTTTCTCACTATCTTATAAAAGCTTACCACAACACACTACACTGTTTTATATTTTCTTGTCATTAGTAATATTTTAATAAATAATAATTTTTCCATCTTTATTAAACGGCAAGTAAATTCAGACTGAGGAAATAAACAATTTTTTTGCATTTGTTGTAAATTATTACTGATATGTTTTATGTATGAAAATTTATTAATTACACTTAAAATCATTCTTATTTTACTTTGTAAAATGTTTAGAAATTTTACTCTGGAAAACTCAAGAAATTTGGTTTTGTTGGTTGTGGTCATCCTGCAACATCACAAACACTAAGGGTTGTAAATTTTAGGAAATAAAACATCAGGTTAACATAAAATTAATGAAAAAAAACAGCAGAGCAGGAATTAAGAAGAGAAAAAAAAAGCAGATGGTACTTTTGGAATTTTTCGAAGTTGATTATTTTCCAGATAGTTCTTTTTATTATTTTGTTTTATTTTCACTAGTGTGCATTTTTAATTCTACTTATAATATTGAAATATTTTATGTTTTTATGATTAACTTATTCATAGTTGCCAACTATACTCCATTTTGCCTGTTTCTCCTGGTCTACTGGTTTAATAAAAATTCATAGTTTTTGTACATGTTGGAAAATTATATAAAATAGAGTAACAGCTTCCTTAAAAAATTTCTATTGAAATAGAATTTTTATGTAGATTATTATTTGCTTGAATATTTAAAAAAATAAGTAATACTAAGTAATAATCAGGGCTGATTGTAGCCGGATTTTTCACTATTCGTGATCCGGAAATTTCCGGAGATCGACGGTTCAGACGTTTAAAAAAATCATTGATCACAAAAGTTTCCGGAAAACAAATTTTCAAAGGTAAAACTTAAAAACACAGTTTATTTTATTTGATTGTAATGAAGAGCCATATACTTTATAAGCTTATATTCAAGATCAATATTCATTTTTTATCAGATAATAGTTATTATTATCATAAACTCAAGAAAGAAAGACATATTTGTAAATTTCAGTTACTTCTCCAGACCATCATAGGTATGCGTAAAATTTTAAATATATTTTAAGTAAACTATGAAATATTGAGAAAAAGGAAAAATGTTTCGATTTAAACTTAATCTTTTTTACTCAGAAATTTTTCGGAATTTTTTCCTTGAGCTTATAATCACCCCTGAATAATTAAAATAAGTAATAGGCCTCATTCATACAGATGAGTTCAAAACTTTTTTTGCTCTAAAATGTTCAGTTTATTTTTTATTTAAAACTCCCTTTTTAAGTTAATTATAAAATATTTTAATCTTTAATGAATTAAATACCTACTAACTATTGAAATTATGAGTGAACATAATACAAAACATTTCAAGTATTTTTAGTGTCAATCATAACGGTAAAATATTGCAGTTTTTTTCTATATTGAAAACTATAAAAATCTAAAATTCACTGTGTAAAATATTTAGTACATTATGGCATTATGCAACAATTATCATGAAATTTATTTTATTTCATAAAATGTACTGTATTTTTTCCTATAGCTGTTAGCTATGCTTATTCATAATTGTCTTGGCAGCATTTCAACAGAATTAATTTTGAGGTGGTTAATTAAATAGAATATGTAGTAACAATATGTGGTTATTGAGGTTCAAAACATTTATTTTTACATATGTTTTGTATGTGACATGATGTGCTAAGGCTTGTAAAAGTTTTATAAATTGTTTTACTTGTAAAAGTTTTATAAATTGTTTTACTTGTAAACGTTTTATAAATTGTTTTACTTGTAAACGTTTTATAAAATTTTTTACTTGTAAAAGTTTTTTTGTTTAAAAGTTAAAAATTTTTTAATCGCGTTAATATTATATCTGTAGAATGCAAGATAGTTTAAAAAAAGAAACTTCAAACCTTTATTTTCTTGGAGAACCAAAAAAAGTAATTTTGCCTCAAAGTTGTGTGGAAACCATGTTATGACGAATGTTTCAGAGTTCTGTGTCAATTAAGCAAGTTTGAGATTTTTGAGTCAAAATTGTCAGGCAGAATGTCCAATTTTCTAAACATGAGAATATTTCATTTTTAATTCTTTTCTTTGTATAATAATTTAAATTATTTCTATGTTCCTTTTATGATAAACTTATTCATAGTTATTGTATTGGCAGCATTTCAACATAAATGTAAATATTTAAGAAGGGAAATTAATTTTGAGATGTTTAATTAAATAGAATAAGTAGTAACAGTATGTGGCTAATGTGGTTCAAAACATTTATTTTTAGCGTGTTTCGTATGTGACATGAGATGAAATGTAATATTTAAGATTAGGTTTAATTTTTTTCCCTTCATTTAAAAAAAAAAGGCTTTTTGTTCATAACATATACAATTGACTCAATTTAACGACTTTGAGGAAACTGAAATTTAACATTGCATAATTCAAATAAATTGTAATTGCCTTCTTTCTTAATAACATAAAAAACAAAGAATTTTGAATTCAAGAAGTATTCCTTTTCAAGAAGTATGCTTTTCTGGAATATGCTATTTCTTACTCATTACAAACAGTTGAGCTTTTACTGTATAGAGTAAAACCTGCGTATCTTAGAAAATATAATTGGCGCCTAAGTTCAAAGTAATTATTTTTAACATCTTTTCATCTACTTATTGCAAAAGTTTTACTATAATGTGATTTAAACTATTTTTGCTTAAAGTAAATTAGAATACTTTTAAGAAATAAATTTTAAAGCCGAATTCTCTCAGAGAAGCTAAAAGAATCTTGAAAGTGTTTTGCTTTCAAGTTGTGTGAAAACCATGATATGATTAATGTCTCCAAGCTCTCTGTTTACAAAGCAGGCCTGATATTCTTCTGAGTTATGGAAGAACTTTGTGAACATGAGAATAAATCTTAATATTTCTACATTTTTTCGTTATACTTTATTGTTTTATGTTCTGAATACCTCATTTGTATATAAAACTTAACAGTTTGTCAGATTATCATTATACCTATATATATAATTTAAGTAGATATGTTTGTGCTATTTTTGTCTAAAAAAAAGACAGCAAATATGATAAAATGTATGTTATAATTTTGTTAAATGTGTTTAAATGTACTTGAATTCATATTTATGAGATTTAAAGTCTTTTGATTCACAGACCAAGCAGCAAGCGATACCGAATCAAGGTGTGTGGGATATGCGAGGGAAGCAATTTCATACAGGAGTTGAGATCAGAGTATGGGCTATTGCCTGTTTTGCACCTCAACGGACATGCAGAGAAGATGCCCTCAGGTATGTCCATATTTTAATTAACAAACACATATATTAAAGTATAAAACACTTTTTTGATTCATGGTCCAAATATATGATTGCAGAAAAATGAAACACTCTTGATTGACCGATAGTTTATGTTTTTAAATCAGCTATCTTAAAGAATCAATTGACAAATTTAAACAGAATCATAACTTTTTTATTTTATAACTGTCATTGAGCAGCTAACCCAACTTTTTGGGTTTACAACTACTTATGTTCGACTCTGAACCCAATCCAGAAGACAAAGGAACTCCTAGATCAAGTATTTTATAACTGTCGTTGAACAGTTGACCCAATTTGAACCCTAACCAGAAGACGAGAACTCTTGGAGAAATTTGGAAACTAACCCGCATTTGCGTTACATGAAGAGGAAGACCATGATTACCTCCCACGATTAACTTGACAAAGGGACTCTAACCCATGTTCTGTCTACCACTGAGGATATTTCACGTCAGCACTGTCGGAAGCAGATTTGTATCATCCGTGGGATTTGAACCAGGTCTACCTCATTGGAAGGCGAGCGCTCTATCCCTTGAGCCACCACGGCTCAGAATCTTTGCTTTAAATCATTGGTATGCATTTCATTGAATGACTGAATTTTTTTTATTTTATTTAGAAATTTCACACAGCAGCTTCAGAAGATAAGCAATGATGCTGGGATGCCCATCATTGGGCAACCTTGTTTTTGCAAATATGCAACTGGTGCTGAACAAGTCGAACCGATGTTTCGTTACCTCAAAACAACATTCCAAGGTCTCCAACTGGTAGTGGTAGTCCTGCCCGGAAAAACTCCCGTTTATGGTAATATTTAATATGACTAGTCTTTTACATAATGAAAAGTTTATGCAATTTTATGTAAATCGGAAGTTATAAATGCCAAAAAATTACCTAAGTGTCACTTGTTAATGAAATTGGCAAAATCCAACTGCATCAAAAATTGATTATTCAAATGTGAGATTTGAAACTCTTGTGCTGTAATATTGAAATAAAGTTTAGTGAATTTTTTTTTTTTTGAATGAATTCTAGTAACTAAAAGTATTTAATTTTCTGCAAATATGCTAATTTTTTAGATATAAATATTTAATGCCAAAGCGCTAAGGTTTATATAAAAAATAGATTTGCAAATTTTTGATAAATTTTTGTTCTTATTTAGATATTAGATCTATTTTCATGCTTTAGGCTACTACAGGGTTGCCCCCTCCACAGAGGAAAACCAAGAAAACACAGGGAATTTAAAAATCACCTAAATTAACAGGGAATTTTGATACTTTCTTTAAGAACTGGGAAAATACAGGGAATTTTGTTTTTTACCTTATTTTTGTCTTTTGAAATACCACTCAAAGCGTAATCTATGGGATATTTAAGCAGGATATTTCATCTGTACTAAACTATTTCATTTACCATAGCATTATTTAAGTATGTTCAGCTGTTCCTTTTTTTTTCGCTCAAGTTTTTCCAGCAATTAAAAGTAATAAATATAGTTAGCCCAATATAACTACCATAAGAGCACAATAATAGGTGTGTTTCCTCTTAATATATTGTGTATAATATCTACAGAGAAAACACTCGGAATTTTTTTTCTATTTTTGTGTGGCAACCCTGTAGTACTAAAAGCAACTATTTTGCTCATTTTTTTTTTCTGTGGCAAGCCTGTTATTAAGATTGTATTTTGTATTTTCAGCCGAAGTGAAGAGGGTGGGCGATACTGTCCTCGGAATGGCCACTCAATGTGTTCAATCGAAGAACGTGAATAAGACATCCCCACAAACACTCTCCAATTTATGTCTCAAAATAAATGTGAAACTTGGGGGAATCAACAGTATTCTCGTCCCAAATATAAGGTGAGGGTTCTGGCCACCACAAAATAATAATCTTTGTTAATGATAACATTTTATAATAATATCTCTCTTTGTCTTTTAGACCCAAAGTGTTCAATGAACCTGTGATATTTCTCGGTGCTGATGTTACGCATCCACCTGCTGGTGATAACAAGAAACCTTCTATTGCAGCAGTGAGTCATTTCATTTTGGAGTGTAAACACTCGATAGCTACTGGCCTATGTTGTATTTTGACAATTTCTCTTTGTTTGATAACAATATCTACTGTTATTGTATATTTCATAAATATTAGATAAGTAAAGTTTCACAAAAAAAAGAAAAAAATTAGGTTAGTCAAAACTGTAAAAAAGGCCGTGCAGTATGGGACCCCTAATCCTGCAGGACCAGAAAGTCGACACTCAATCTGATCTATTTTTTTTATTGATAGATATTTTTAATTTGATCCATAAAAATAAAAAAAAATTATGGATAAGAGAAGAAAAAAAATCAGTTATATTCTCTTTTTATTTGGAATTTTATTTTGTTGAATTAAGTAACTTTTATTTCATTTTTAAAAAAACAAAAAAATGCAAGAAAGAAAATCTGGTCTCAAACGAAACATCTGTTCTTAAAGCAGTTTAAAATAAAGTGAAAAGTAAAAACACCTGCCTTTCCAATGAACAAAATAAAGAAATGCAAGTTGGGAGAAACTGATCAATCCATCTTAACAGCAGTGCATGTGCTCTGCTGGTTTGTCCCCCATATTTCCCTCTCCAGTTTGACCATTAAAAGTCCTTAAAAACTGAATTTTGAAAAATAAGGGTCCTTAAAAGTATTTAATTTTGGTTCAAGGTTTTTAAAAGTCCTTAATTTTTAAGCATCACTATGGTTGATAGGAACAATTTTTCAGTTAAATTTTTTAAAACAATAAGTCCTTCTATTATAACTTAGAATTAGACCATGCATCGAGGGTAAAGCATTTTAGAGACAAAAATTAATGTGTGTGTAGGGGGGGGGCTACAGGCAAGGGGCAAAAACTATGTTCTCTCATTAATACATTGTTTCTTTTATTAATATATTCTGTCCTTTGCCTAGTATGATACTCTATGAGGAGAGTGCAGCATTCTAAAAGAAAAGAATAGTGTGGACAAGGGGAATACTGCACATGGAGGAGAGGGTGCTTTTTTGGGGGGGAGGGTACCAAAGTAGAAGACCCACACTAACCTTCAAAATTAACTGAATTCAAGAATTTCAGTTCAACTGGTAACGTATCTGCTTATATAAATTAAGTGAAACGCTAAGAAAAGAAGTATCAGAAGAAAAAAAAATTTGAGCTAGAATCACAAAATCACAATGACAAAAACTATTTCCTGAAATCTTGAATTAAATAAATTTGTATAATATTTTATATTATTTATGTGTAATATTAATTATGTGTAATAGATAAATGTTAATTTGTAGAAAGCATAACATTTTTTAAAATTCATGATTGTACTAAAAATTAAATAGATTTGTAAGAAACAGGGTTTGAAAAATCCTAGCCCACCTAGGTTTTGCATCAAAAACCTGTGGTTTATTTGCTTTTTGGGGAAAACCTAAAGGGTTTTTTCAATAATACTTAATTTTTTCCCTGAATACTGAATAAGAAAGCATGATTTTCTTCTAACAAGAAAGTTAAATATTTCGTAACTATTTATAATTTGTTTTGTTGTAATGTAAATTTTTTTTTTTTAAGTTTTAGATTGTTATGCTATTTTTATTTCCTAAGGATAAGCAGATTTGCCTGGCAATTCTTTGGCTGGCCTTGTTAATTCATACAATTATAACAGTTCTGACATTATAATAAAATTGTTTTTTTATTTTTATTTATTGATTTTTTAAGAAATGTAAATAATTTACACTGTCACTGGTGGCAATCGCACTATTTTTAAAGTTATTGCTTTGTTGAAAGAGTGTGAACCATTCATAAAATGTGTTGCAGGTTGTGGGCAGTATGGATGGTCACCCAAGCAGGTATGCAGCTACTGTTAGAGTGCAGCAACATAGACAGGAGATCATCCAAGACCTGGCATCTATGGTGAAAGAGTTATTGATTCAGTTTTACAAGTCTACACGCTTCAAGCCAAACAGAATCATCTTCTACAGGGATGGTGTGTCAGAAGGACAATTTCATCAAGTGAGTATGCTTAGTGTTTCTGAGACTCACTAGTGCAACAATGGTCTCGGGAAAGAGTTGGCCGATTTTAGGACAGAATGGATTAATCCGTCTTGTCTAAACTCCTTTGTCCAAAACTGCCTTTTACTCAAATTATGTCACAATTTAGAAAAAAAAGTATTGTGAAAAATAAAAGGTTAATTTTTGATCAAGAAACAAAGTGAAGACAATTTTTTTTTCATTGAAAAAGTTTATTATTATTTTTAATATTGCATTATTTATTCTTATGCGAAAACATTACTTAGCTTATTGAAAGCTTATACATTCATATTTTAGGGATTCACTTTTGTTGTTCAATGAATTGTAGAGCTTCAGAAGTTATGAATCTTTTTCTGTTATATTATTTTCCTTTCATAAGTTAAAGCGAATTGTATAAAAAGTATCAAATATTTCTTAATATATGTAATTATTATGTGTTACACATATAGAATTTTTGCCTTTTACCAATGTTCAAGTTTTTTGACACTTTAAGACAGTAAAACCCACGTCTCTTGTTCAAAACCCCAACCCTGGGCGACGTTGAAGTTCTTGATTTTCCCTTTGGGAAATAAACAGGGTGGCCACCCACCTGGAAAACCTTGAAAACCTGGAACTATCAGGGAATTTTTTTATACTGGAAAAAACCTGGAAATATCAGGGAAATTTGGATGAAAACCTGGAAAAATCAGGGAATTTTAAAGAAAAGCTGGAAATTTTTTCTTTGTTAATTTTTTTAATTGCACTAATTTAAATTATTTACTAATTTTCTTAATTTAAATTATTTCATCCATTATCCCAACTTTTTTAGACGGAAATGTATCGCTAAACATCATTAACTTAACAATTCTTTGTCTGCATCAAAATTTGCTCCATTACAGCTCTGTCAAACTAGAATACCACATAAAATTCTCCCACGGTTTGCTAAACGAATGCAGAAACCTTTGACGGCTATGGGACTGTGCAATTTAGGAAAGATTCTGGTGGAGATGGAAAAGGGGATTGGGATATTAGCTTCTGTTTTTAAATTCTGTCCTTGGGCTGAATCCATTTATGGCTCAAGTTTGTTCCGATACTTTGGTGGTAATTTTTTTTTTTCTATTTTGACAAAATGTTTTTGTATTTTTAACTTTATAAAATTCTCCAAAAATTGTTGGTTATAATTTAATAATAATAGATTTTATATTGCACTCTTTTTCTGAAAGCTTTTCTACTCCCATTCAAAGAAATCTGTAAATTATTTTTTCTCAGCAAACCAACCAATCACACATTTTTTTACAATC